CCTTCGGGGATAAAAGGCGTAATGATGTAATGTAATGTAGTATCTTCAGAGATACGACATGACTATGTTATTTCAATCTGAGCACTGAAACATTATAGGCTCTATAACTCCGAAATCTCTTGACTTTTGCCTTTTGTCGTAATACGAAGTTTTATTCTGCATTTAAAAATACAGCCATCCATTGTTTTTAAGGGTGGAATATCATCAAATGTCTTCTCTCTCCTAGGTGAGACAGGAGGGAGTATCAGACTCCATTATTGTGTATCAATGATCTCGGAAACGGCATCATTGATTTTCTTGAAATTTTATATCAAATTGATTTCAGGGGCGATAAGTCGATCTGGCTAGGTTTTATTCAGAAAACGTCATTTTGTCTGTGTTTTCATGGAATAAAAGTCCTTATAGAATACGAAGATAAATTTTGCCGTAACTTTAACGTTTACATTGCAATTGCATAGCGTAGTCGGGAAATCGGGTACTTTCCGTGCAGAACATTCAGATTCAATCATCGGCTCAAATTTGTTTTTGTTTTTATGTCTTCTATTTTTTGTATTTTGTTTTACTTCTTTTCTATATTTTTACTTGTTTCCGAAAATATATGTACCTACCTTCTAAAAAAAACACCGGTCATCCAGGGACTTACGTTAATGTAGATACACACACATGCACATGAACCTACTTTAGTAATAAATAGTAACCTACTATTACCTACAATATTTCTATACCCTTTAATATTCCTTAACATAAGCTAATTAGATGGTGAAAAAGGGTCAGGCAAGTCTCTGACATTGGCTCACGTCCTACATTATGCCCATGAAGATGGTTACCTTATTGTGCACGTACCTTGGGGTAAGTTACACTTTTGTTACAAGAAGGAAGTTTTTAGTTGTTGTACAATATCAATGTCTCATACAATCTTTTTTCACTGCCGTAAGTTAAAGTTGAGCGACAAGAAAATTGTTCTGAGAAAACTGACAAAAGAAATAGCATTTCTTAAAAACTCCCTATGGCTATACCTGATATAAAAAGGCCTACCAATGAGTAGAGTATTACCCACAAATATTTTGATGTACAAAACTTCTGAAAGTGAAATAATATTTTCACTGATATAACACATCTTTATGTGTGTCGAAGTAGTGATATTTCAATATTTGTGAAAATCTGGTATAATTTTGTATCCATTTTCGCTGAACATATATTGGGTTGTCTAGGGGGGTATTAGTCCCAGCTATCTCCCCTCACAGTATGGTGCACTATTTACCAGACATCCTGTATAAGAAGTTACCGAAATCTTTTTTACACAAACCCAAAGACAATTAAGAAAATCGTTTCAGCTGTGTTCTCGACATTTTGTGCTTAGCAACACATTTAGTGATTCATTTTTATATTAGTAGATCAACACCTCACAAGCCGGCAGACGAGCTGACGGATCACCTGATGGTAAGCAATCGGCGTCGCCTATGGACACCTGAACCACCAGAGGCGTTACAAGTGGGTTACCGACCTTTTACATGTTCGTGTCCGTGGGTATAGAATTCTAGATCATACAGATTTTCAGTCTCTTAAAATCGTAGTTAGTAAATAGACACGTGCTCGTACGCTCTAGGTACCAAGATAACATAATACCCAATAAGTGAACTATGAATCTTAGACCGGTGTGGCCACTTTATGTTACATATTAAAAAATATTAAAAAAATGTTTTTAGACTGATCTAGGTATAATTTTCTGTTCTACTTTTCAGTTTCGGAGTGGTTGAGACGAGTGCCGCGCCATAAAGAGATGTCCAATTCTCAGACCCACGAGGGTTTCGTCGACCTGCCTCTCGACGCGGCCGCCTGGCTTATACACTTCAAGAGTCAGAATCAGACATTACTGAAATCCGAAAATGTAAGTACTCTAAGCATATAATACTTATGTTGTATAGAAAATACAAATATTTATTTAGGTAGTTGACAAACATTAACTTAAAAACTGCACCACAATTTGTTTAAATGTACCGCTAGTTCCCAAACTAGGATACACTTGTATCTTGGGGACTCGACTCGAGATATCTTTGATATATTGCACTAAGAAGGACTTTCAAGTAATTCTAGTTATTTGACAATATTAAAGTAGATATACATTGAACCAAAATAATAAAGAACTATGGACTACCTGTCTTTTATTTTTTTACTTTACAACGTAAAACAAATAATTGAAGGGTGATTGGTTTGCCTTGTGCAATCATTGTTTCATACACAATGAATACAGCAGGTTAATGCCGTTGTTGTTGTAAGTTACCTTCTTGGAATTTGTTTTATCTGGATTCTTATGTTTCACAGTTGAAGGTATCTAAAGAGTATGTGTGGAGTAAACGCGAGAAGACTGAAGCTGGTTCTCCATTACATATGTTGGTCGAACACGGAATAAATCGCGTCAAGTACGCCTGTGACGTCGTGGACGTACTCATTGATGAGATCAAGATGCTGTCCAGTAATAAACAGTATGTTTTAATTATATTATTTTACTGTTCTTATTTATTAAATACTCTTCCACGGGCCACTCTAGTATCTCGTTCTGGCGGCGAACGCACTTGAATGTAGGGCTCTTCCTTTTAATTTCTATAGAATAGACAATCTCACATAGAACACCATAAATTAAAAGCAAGAGGTCTATATAGGACTATTTAAATGCCGCTAAAATTTTAAATGACTCTGTTGGTTGATACGACAAAGTAAAAACGCTGTATTTCAGATGCAAAACATTTGTGGCGATCGACGGTTTCAACAGTTTCTTCTACCCGTTGACGCGACTCAATACTCCCACCAAAAAGACGGTGAAACCTGATGAAGTTACACTTACTACATCCTTTCTGAAACTGACACTTAACGACTGGGTAAGCACAATGTGTGCTAACACGATTGAAGTCACGAATATTTCCATGAATATTTACTTTATTAACCTAAATACTTTCAATTTAACAGGCGAATGGTGTTATAGTAGTAACTGCCGACCAGTTAGCAGTTCCCGATGACCATCAAGAAAGTTTCCTTCCAAGATACTTACTGTACAAAAAGGTATGGTCATGGTATGACTATAATTTCGACAGAAAATCAGAAATACATTAGCGTTGCGCAGCGGTTCGTAGCGCGCCAGAAGCATATTGAATTCGACATTTACTATGCTTAGATACACACTTAGGTCGTGTCGTGTCGTGTCGGGTGGGTCGCCAAATATTTGCAGCTTTTAAGTGTGGGAGAGCCATGCTTCGGCACGAATAGACCGGCTCGGCTGGAGTGATACAACGGCGCCACGGCCTCACAGAAAATTGACGTGAAAAAACGCTTGCGTTGTGTTTTGTCGTGTGAGTGAGGTTACCGGAGGCCCAATTACCCCCCTCCCCAATTCCTAAATCTCCAACAATCCTCAAATTCTGAATCCCCATCTGTTGTTTTGGTTATTCATGGGCGGCGCTGATTGCTTACCATCAGGTTATCCGTCTGCTCGTTTACTGGCTTATCCTATAAATAAGCCCCACGGCGCTCCAACACTCTACGTCATGGTAATCAAAATTGTGAAGTTTTTTTGTTTAAAGCGAGCCCCGCGAGTAAGCTTTAAAGCTTAGAAAAAATATGTAGTAAGTACTAACATGATCACTTGTTTTATCTGTAACATCTTTATTCTTTTACAGGGCTTTGACCACTTAGACCCATTTGTGCCAATTGAAGTAGGCAAATATAATGAAAAGGAGTTCCAAAGCTGTGTGGGATACTACAGAGACCGGCTGTGGCTGAGAGGACCTCCCGAAGTTGAGACAGAATTAAAGTTCACCAGTGCATGCAACCCCTACAGGTTTATGGAACAGTGTGCACCATTGTAAAATACTTAAATGTATTTAATATAAAAGTAGTTTATTACTTTTACTTTAATTTTACACCTAGTAGATAAGTTGATAAATACATTCACATAATTATATAAATAATAATCTGTAGTATAGTATACATTCTATACCATATAATGGCCACAGATGGGGCCCAATAGGGCCAATGCCGATTCGAAGTCGCGGAGAACCTAACGGGTAACCGGGGCTCCGGCTCGACGTGCAGGAGAAGGAACGGGTGGTTTTTAGTCATTAACAGTGACACTCCCTCCCGCCTCACTCTGGCGGGAGGAGTCATTCGATCATTTCCCCCCTTAAAAAAAAACCATAATATTATGTATTAGGTACATAGTAAACATGCTAATCTCCAAAAGTAACTGGTTCGAATTGATTAATGATTTTGTTAGATAGTGCATTTAACTCGTCGAGTACCGGTTCTGTAGACACAATTATAGAATAATAGGTTGCGGTCACCGGTGACCACTTGGTGTTTGACAGTTTAACAAGCAAAGCTATAAAACAACAAACAATCTATGGCATGTTCGTTGTTTTATAGCTTTCCTGGGATATAAGCAGACAAATCACCTGGTGGTAAGCAATCGCCGAGCATGAAAACTAGGTACTCACTACACTTACAAGGGCATTGGCCATGCACTTCCATTATACATACATTGACTGCACGGTTGGTGCGGTGGCTGGGCAACCGGCTGCCGTGCAACGTGTCGCGGGTTCGATTCCCGCACGGAACAACACTTTGTGTGATCCACAAATTGTTGTTTCGGGTCTGCATGTCATTGTGTATATGAACTTGTATGTTTGTAAACGCACCCACGACACAGGAGAAAATCCTAATGTGGGGCAACGTATTTTTAATTAAAAAAAAATAAACAAAAAAAATGTAAAACCAGAAGCGAGTACCGACTGGTCAGAGCCACATTGAATATCAATGTCAAGTTTGAAACATTCTCTCTTATGTAGTCCACATACCTACCAACCTTCAATATATCGGTTCCCCGAGAGATTCCAGATCAAGTTATCAAATTGCTTCGAGTGCCTGGAGAATACTAGTTCCAGAAGAGAATTTTACAGATTTTCCAATTGTTAAAAATATAGTTAAGAGGATAATAAAGAACATAGACATGATTTTAATAATATATTTTGCTGAACATAATATCTACGAAATTAGTGCTTACAATCAGAACCTAAACATCATAACCCACAATATGACGTTTGCCGATGCACTCTCCTACATAAAACCAGAAGATGACTTCTGCTCCTACAAGAGCGTTTAGGGTAGCCTGTTTGATAGTCTGGTCCTTCCACGCACCAGTCTTAGCACTTGTCAACAGTTTGCCAATGCCCGCTTTGATTTGTGGGATTTCACTTAGTTTTGGGGGAGCCAGTTCCACTCGCGCATATTTCATGAAGATGTTGAATTTAGGACGGGCCTGTGCGATTGCCGCTGGAAAAATAAAATGTTGTACTAATTATGACAAGACCAAGGATGCGGGTCAATGGTACATCGTGTCATTTTTATTTATCAATTACTTATAATAGAGAAAAACTAAGTTCCAATGATTGTTTCCATTAAATTCGCATAACCTTCAATCTGAATTTACAAGAATTACATAATATACTGGAAGAATCCAAAACAGACATTGTAAAAGTATAGCATCTCCAAACTATCATAAAAGCTACTTACAACCAATTAGAGAAGGTACCTTGCCGACTGCACTTGCCATTTTGCTAAATTTAATCAAAACAGTTGAAGTACAATCTTCAATTTTATATTCAGAATGGCTGAAGGTGGAGGAATTTTGAACTGTCAAACAGCCATTGAATTAATTTGATGCTTGACGTTGACGTTAGACGATAGGGACTGACATTTTCAGATTTTCATATTCATTATTAGTCTTTTTTTCATAAAATAATCTAAGCTTTCGACTAAATAATTACTAAATAACGAAACAAAAACTATTTTATTTATATAGAAAACCAACAGCGTTACATATAGTTTACAATAGTTTGCATGATTTACTGAGATTAAGGCTAATAATAGGTTTTCCTTATTTCCTAGATTTTGTTAACATGCGCCCGGACTTATGAACTTAAAGAAATAAGATCAAGAACAAACAATGATTAACTTAATCAGTTAACTAGTTAGTTACAAAGACTTAGATTTCGGAATAATGAGTTAAAATACGGAGTCGGTGATCGGTGTCATGGTTGCTTTTATTAATAGATTTAATGATGTTTTACCAAGGGATGGTAAGTAAAACACGAGTGAGGTTTGGAACAGAATGATTTATTAGAAGAACTCTTTACTCGTTTTATTTATACATTTGGGGTACACATTATTTTTACTCAATATATGACGGACCAATCATAAACGACTAGTAGTTCACGGGCCTGCCGCGCTCAAGGCGCGTCGCTGCTGTCATCGAGGCGTCTGGTACAATGAGTTCTTTATTAAATTTAGGTTTAGCACAACTGAATAGATCTATTTCGGCAAAGTTATTATTTTGTGTTCGGGCAATGCGAGTCAGTACACAATTTTTTGCATATTATTTGGTCGAACGCCGAGGTACCTACCTTCTGGGAACGTTCAACGTTATCTGCTGGACCAACACGGGGCAATTCAAGCGGCCATTAATTATATCGTATTTCTATAACACATATCCATTACTCATCGTCTTTCCTCGAGTGTTAGCAGTCCATACGATCGACAGCTGTCTTCGTTGGATATCGGAGCTTTATTAAGGCGATAATAATTGAGGTGGTTGATAAAATATACTTTGAATACGGTTTAATTGTTTAATGTAAGTGGCTTATTGCGGGGACCATATCGGGCACGCATATTCTAGGACACTGCGGACATATGCAAAATATACCAATTTAATAGTTTCAATGTTTTTAAAGTCTTTACAAGACCTAATAACAAATCCAAAGTTCTTATAATAAGAACTTGGGATTATAAAGGCTTATAATAAGCCTTTGTGGCAATGTGATCAATATGATTAGAGAAAGTCAACTTGTCGTCAAACAAGACTCCTAGATCTCGTACTGCCATGGCTTTAATAATGATACCATTAAAGTGATAGTCATAAGTTACAGGGGTTTTATTTCGTGTATAACAAATATATAGACACTTGTTACGTTAACAGTTATTTTGTTTGAAATGGGTGGAATGGAAAGGTGAAGCGCACTGCAATCATCAATTGACCTTATTTTATAGAACATTTTCTTGTCATCTGCATACATTAAGTGCTCGGAATATGTAAAGCAATAAGTAATATCAAACAAATACGCATTGTAGAAAAGAGGTCCCAAGTGAGAAACCTGTGGAACGCCACTAAGTATATTATCAAGAAAATTTGAACGGTACCCACGCATCACCACAGCTTGCGACCTCCTTATACCCAGTCTATACATTTATTTTGTTAAATTTATATATCTATGATTTATTTACATGAAGCTATTTATCCAAAAAATGAGATTGGATTTAATGACTGCGTCCAAACTTCTTTTAATTCAATACCTTGCTTTCCACTGCGCCATGACAGGCTAGCTCATTTCTGTTCTGCCTCTAACTTAATTCGCTAATTTTCAAAGTAGCCACACTATCTATTGAGTATTGTGCTACGTCGATCATTTATGTCAAACGTGTTTGTCAAGTGAAACCGGCAATCAAAATTTAATAGAACAAGCATTTTAATAGAAAAATTGCCAATTGCTATTAGTAAATAAGATTGTTAAAATAAAAATTAAGCCAGTTCTACTTTCGTAGATTGTAGAAATGTATTTGTATGGTATGTATCGACTATTTCATACTCCAACACTAACATTGGCGTGGCAAACAAAAATTGCTATTGAAATGGTATTTTACAAGTTAAATAAGAATTAAAGATGAAATTCCTCACTACTTTACTAATTTACTATGTTTTAAAAAACATCACACAATTGATATTGACGTAAAGCGCTATGTTTATTTGTAATATTCGGGACACGTCAGTGTTCCTTTGACGACGCCGGCCATCGTTTCGTTTCTGAGGTTACTTCATAGTCGACATCGATTACAAAATATGTTTTCGGGGTGTAATAATTGTAATGAATTAATTTACATAGATTACGACTTAAAATGATTGTGACATATATAAACATAGCTGCGCTAGCATTCTTATTAGATTCCTTCTACCACTGAAAAATGTTATTAATTTATAGTAGTAGAAGTGCCTCAAAGACTTAATAATTTGAATAAAAAGTAATAACTTGTAGTAGTTATGTAAATATTTATTTTCAGCATTATTCTTGTTACTACTAAGTATATTATCTAACTGCCATGGCAACACACTACAAGGCACTATTGATCTGAAGCGGCTACAAAACATCCTACAGGAAAATGTGAAGAGTCAAGATATTACATCATTGTACTACTCAGTGAAGGGGCTGGCAGAACTTAATGCTGACATTCCAAATATCTGTGAAGTGAGTGTCATATATTTTGTATTTCTTTCAATCAGATTAAACTGTTAATATAAATCCTTAGATTTTTATTAAAAATGTATAGTTTACTTTGATATTAATCAATATAGGTAGCTAGTGAGTTCCAAAAATGTATTGTTTTACAGATACTGAAAAACATCAAGTATGATCCGAAAAACATAGAACAGGTGTTCCAAGTAGCTAATGCTGCTGCCATAACCAGTTGCCAGAATTTCATGAGGCCAGAAATCTTGAGTCCCGCTACACAAACACTAGACAGGAAGGATGCCACTATTGCTGACATCTACCATGCTGTCTTTACTCTAAGGGCATTTGGCAAGGGCACTGTCTATGACAAAGAAGATGCTCTTAAGAATCTTATTCAGTTGTTGAAGAAGGATGATTCTCCAGCCAAGTGAGTTGTCTATACACAAATGCATTGAGCTGAAGAGTTTGTTACATTGTTGGGTGAAGCTTCGATGGTCATCAGTCTAAATTGTTTTCATCATATCATGCTATTAGCCCGACACCATGCACCATGTAGATCATTTTCTGTCGGCTGTGAATTCGAGATTTTAGATACCCAAGTTATATTTTCGTGGTTTTAGTTTTAATTTGTAAGATGACATTCAAATGTCATGAAATAGTAGTTTGATTTGACTAATATCAGTGCTTTGCTTACTTATCGTAAATGTTAGTGAACTATCAACTGATGAGTAATTTGTCATTTCATTTAAACTGTCTAGTGTCAAATTTGACGTTAGTTTCATTTTAAATACCAAATAAATGTATCATATCAAGGAACGAAGTTATTCTGCCTACTTTACGACTAAAACCTTAAAAAAATCATGAACAGTAACCAATGCACAGAAAGTTAAAATGTTGTCATGAGTTTATCTACAAAATACGGAATTGGTTTGAATGAGTATGTGGTGTGCAGCTACGGCTACGTGTTCGCGCTGTGCGAGCACATGGGGTGCGGCGCCTGGACGGCCGCGCACGCCGCCGCCGTGCTGCTGGCCGCCGACGAGACCGACGCCGCGCTGCACTTCGACGGCGGCCTGCCCGCCACCGCCGCGCTGCTCGCCGCCATCCACAGGTCTGTCTCGTCCGCGCTGCGCTCGCCGCCGTCGCGCGATCTAACTCTTACTTTCTTCGCTGTGCAGGACGTTCAAAAACTTGAAGAAGCCGTCCCCTCTGACGGAGGAGCAGAGATACAAGTTCGCGGAGTATTTACTGACCAGACGGTCTGTCAACACGCCTAAGGGAGCCTGCTTGTTGCTCGAAGCGGCCAATGCGCTCGCTGATGATGAGGTAATAGGAGCAAAAGTTATTTGCGACATATGCGCTCTCTGTCGGTCCCTAAAACACCGTAACATTGTAAAACGTGTAGATACTCGTCGACGCTAAAATAACACGTAAAATGTAATTTCCACAGCCCACTCCGATAAGCATCTCCATCAAGGGCAAGAAATTCATCACGTCGGAGTCTGACAGCATTGAGTTCTCTATCAGCGACCTGATGGGCCGGCCACTGCGCCTGCTCAAACCTGACGAAGTGCTCGCGCAGTCTGGCACGCGACTCGCCGACGACGTCGTCGTACTGTCCAAACAACCTCTGACGCAGAAACCCAACGAACCGACTACTTTCGTGCTCAATCTCAGCAAGATTAAGGCTCAATATGGGCTGTACAAGATCGCATTGAGTGCTGGATCTAAGACGACCAATGTCAATGTGGCGGTATTAGGCGAGATTCGCGTGAGCACCGTGGAAGTCGGCGTCGGCGACGTGGACGGCACTACCAGTCCCAAGCTGACCACTGTCGCATACCCCAACAAGTTGACTGACAAGCTTCAGGCTGATCATTTGCAAAAGTAAGTACTATATTAATATGTAATGTAACAATGCGCTATCGCTGGAGTGACACGAGTCGTCCGTCCGACAGAGTGAGCCTGAAGTTCAGCGTGCGCGACAAGTACGACAAGCCGGTCCTGGTGCAGCAAGCCTTCGTCCGCGTCGCCGCCGCCGACGACGAGACCATCTTCGTGGCCGAGCCCGACAACACCAAAGCCTACAAAGTCGAACTCGTGAGTCTCTCGCTCTAAACCTGCTTCACGAACTTAGAATTTGAAAAATAATACACGTGATTCATAAATGTTAGTGGACTTCTGCTACACGAGGGTCTTTATTTTCATGCGTCGGTGACAGTCATTTGTTTTGTACAAGGAATTAAAAACGTAGCTTTCTTGAATTGTCTCGTCGGCCGAGTGGTCGTAAGTGCGACTGCCAGGCAAGAGGTCACGGGTTCGATTCCTGGGCCGGGCAAACTATTACTGGTTTTTTTTATAAATTCTGTTCTGTTTTATAAGTCTG